GTGGCTGGAGCAGGAAAGAAACAGGCCAAGATGGCTCCCACTCCGTCGTGAGCTTTGGCCCAACTGACGTCGAGGGGGCCTGCGTTGAACAGCAGCAGAATCACGGGATGCCCGGCCGCTGAAATCAAAGCCACAAAGAAGACTTCAGTCTGCTGGTGTGATAGATCCCACCTACGCACGTCCTCTTGAGGAACATGGCCATCAAGCCGACCCTCTGTTTTGCATAACCCCAGATGCCTACGGAGAGTTCTCACAATGTCCAGGCATTTGAATGTCCAGACCGTTTCCTGTGGGCGCTTCTCGTAAATCCACATCCTGTGGGGTTTCCATGTCCCCCACGGCCCTTGCTATGTACTCCTTTCCCACTGCAGTTCATGGCACCTTTTCTTGGAGAAAGCAACCTCTTCAACTCACCCCAGGCTACGACGTCCTGCAGAAGTTCCAACTGGTGCCCAGGGAGGGCCAGATCCGGCCGATCCGAAGCTTCTGTCTCCATCTGAATTCCTAAGCAGCAGGAACCAAAAGGTGCATTACAAGCGGACTGACCGACTACCAACCTTTTCTGCGATCCTCCCTCTCCATCATCATCATCATAATCATCACCATCATCATCATCATCTGGTGTCAAGTCAGTTCTGACCTATGGCAACCCTTTTCAGGTTTTCCAGGTGGAGAGCCTTTGTCTGGCTCTACTCAGAGGAGGCCCAGTGGGGGAATCGAACTCCGAAACTCTGGCTCTGAAGCCAGAGACTTCAACCACTGAGCAATCCAGCCAGCTTCATGACACTGAATGATGGTTCACCAAGATTGTCCTGTTTAACGCACAAGTAGGAGTTTCCTCTCAAAGAGATGTGAATACACCATGAATACTTTATTGTTGTTTTGACTACTTTGCTCATTCCACAGCCGCCAATTTAAAACTTAAGTACAATTAGTAATCTATCCAGGAGCACAGGGCCTCCTTAACGAATGCAATGCTAGCAGATTGAGAAGTAGGAATACAAAGATGCACTTTCGCCAAACGGCTGGGTGCAAAACAGAATAAAAAAATATTAAAATGCACACACCATTTCAACTTTTTTTAAAAAGTCATTTTGATTCATTGTGGGGGGTCTTTAGATAAGATCGTGGGGGTCTTACCAAATATGGGACAGTTTTGGTACAGGATATACTGAATAAGAGTGACCCAAATCAGATCCTCTGTCCATGATCTGATGTGAACAAGGCAAGGAACAGAGAGAGTGGCCAGAGTCAACTGTGGCTGCCCAGAGATGAAGGAGAAAGTAGCGGAAGAGGAGAGGGTGGAATGCTGTTCTCGTGATCTCTGTCCCTGACAGATAAGGTCCCTTACCAGTCCCCAGGCACACAACCACAATGTCTGCAGCTTCTACCGTGGACTTCACCTCTGTAGGGGAGTATTTGTCACACCTGGGAGAACTACATCCAGCAGCAAAGGTAACTTTCGGGAAGACCGTTGCCAAACCCCTCCTGCACCATGGAGAGAAGACAACGCCTCTTAGTTCAGCAAGGACAGGCTGGTTAGAACCTCAAAAGAGCCCTGTGCTGGATCAGGCCAAGGGCCCCTCTAGTCCAGCTACCTGTATTTCACAGGGGCCCCACCAGATGCCTCCGAGAGGCC